GAACAACCTGCTCCTGAATGACACTTGGGTAAATAATGAAATTAAAGCAGAAATCAATAAGTTATTTGAAACTGAGAAAAAAGAAACAATGTATCAGAATCTCTGGGACTCATCTAAAGCAGTGTTAAGAGGGAAATTTACAGCACCAAATACCTAACATCACAACGAAAAGAACTAGAGAACCAAGAGCAAACAAACCCCAAAACAAGCAGAAGACAAGAGTGGAAATGAAGGAGACAGAAACATGAAAAACCCTTCAAAAAATAACAAATCCAGGAGCTGCTTAAAAAAAAATTAGACGACTAGCTAGGCTAATAAAGAATAAAAGAAAGAAGAATCAAATAGACAATCAGAAATAATAAGGGGGATATCACCACTGACCCCACAGAAATACAGTCATAAGATAAAACTATAAACACCAGTATGCATATAAACTAGAAAATCTAGAAGAAATGGATAAATTTCTAGACACATACACCCTCCCAAGACGGAACCAGGATGAAATTGAATCTCTGAATAATGACAAATAATGACAAATAATCTCTGAATTAGACAAATAATGAGTTCTAAAATTGAGGCATAAGAAATGGCCTACAACCAAAAAGAGCCCAGGACAAGAAAGATTCACAGCAGAAGTCTACCAGAGGTACAAAGAAGAGCTTCTGAAACTATTCCAAAAAATTGAAAAGGAGGGACTCCTCCCTAACTCATTCTATGAGGCCAGCATCATCCTGATATGAAAACCTGGTAGAGATACAACAAAAAAAGAAAACTTCAGGCCAATATCCCTGATGAATAGCAATGCAAAAATTGTCAATAATACACTAGCAAACCAAATCCAGCAACACATAAAATAGCATATGCACCATGATCAAGTCAGCCTCATCCCTGGGATGCAAGGTTGGTTCAACATAGGCAAATCAGTAAATGTAATTGATCACATAAACAGTACTAAAGACAAAATACAAACAAACAACAACAACAAGAAAAACCACATGATTATCTCAATAGAGGCAGAAGAGACCTTTGATAAAATTCAACATACTTCATGTTAAAAACTCTGAATAAAATAAGTATTGAAGAAATATACCTCAAAATAATAAGAACTATATATGATAAGCCCACAGCCAATATCATACTGAATGAGCAAAAGCTGGAAGTGTTCCTCTTGAAAACCGACACAAGACAAGGATGCCCTCTCTCACCACTCCTATTCAACATAATATTAGAAGTTTTGGTCAGGGCAATCTGGCAAGAGAAAGAAATTAAGAGCATTCAAATAGAAAGAGAGAAAATCAAACTATCCCTATTTGCAGTTGACATACTTCTATATCCAGAAAATCCCATCATTTCACCCAAAAAGCTTCTTAAGCTGATAAGCAACTTCAGCAAAGTCTTAGGATAAAAAAGCTATGTGCCAAAATCATACTATTCCTATTCACCAACAACAAAGCCAAATCATGAATGAACTCCCATTCACAATTACTATAAAAAGAATAAAATACCTAGGAATACATCTAACAAGGGATGTGAAGGACCTCTTCACGGAGAACTACAAATCACTGCTCAAAGAAATCAGAGAGGACACAAACAAATATAAACATTCCATGCTCATGGATAGGAAGAATCAGTATCATGAAAACAGACATACTGCTCAAAATATTTATAGATTCAATGCTATTCCCATTAAACTATCATTGACATTCTTCACAAAATTAGAAAACAACTATTGTAAAATTCACATAGAAACAAAAAAGAACCAAAACATACAACAAAATCCTAAGCAAAAATAACAAAGCTGGATGTATCATGCTACCTGACTTCAAACTATAGTACAAGGCCACAGTAACCAAAACAGCATGGTACTGGTACAAGAACAGCATGGTACTGGTATAAAAACAGACGCGTAGACCAATGGAATAGAATAGAGAACTTAGAAACAAGACTGCACACATACAATTATCTGATCTTTGACAAAACTGACAAAAGCAAACAATGGGAAAATGATTTTATAATAAATGGTGCCGAGAGAACTGGCTAGCCATATGCAGCAAATTGAAGCTGGACCCCTTCCTTACACTTTATACAAAAATTAATTCAAAATGGATTAAATATTTCTAGGATTTTTATGGTTTTGGGTTTTACATTTGCTGCAAAAATTTTACAAGAAAATTGTATGCAATACCATTCAGGACATATGCATGGGCAAAGATTTCATGTTGAAAACACCAAAAGCAATTGCAACAAAAGCAAAAATTGACAAATGGGATCTAATTAAACCAAAGAGCTTTTGCACAGCAAAAGAAACTGTCACCAGAGTGAACAGACAACTTACAGAATGGGAGAAAATATTTGCAACTTATCCATATGATGAAGGTCTAATATTAAGTCTACAAGAACTTAAACAAATTTACAAGAAAAAGAAATCCCATTAAAAAGTGGGCAAAGGACATGAACAGATACTTCGCAAAAGAAGACATTTATGTGGTCAACAAACGGGAAAATTAGCTCAACTTCACTGATCATTAGACAAATGCAAATCAAAACTACAATGAGATGCCATCTCATACCAGTCAGAATGGCTATTATTAAAAAGTCAAGAAAGAACAGATGCTGGTGAGGTTGCAGAGAAAAAGAAACACTTTTACACTGTTGGTGGAAGCGTAAATTAGTTCAACCACTGCGGAAGACAATATGGTTATTCCTCAAAGATGTAGAACCATAAATACCATTTGACCCAGCAATCCCATTACTGGGTATATACCCAAAAGAATATAAATCATTCTATTATAACAATACATGTACACATATGTTCACTGCAGTTCTATTCCAATATCAAAGACATGGCATCAACCCAAATGCCCATCAATGTTAGACTTGATCAAGAAAATGTGGTACACATACACCACGGAATACTATGCAGCCATAAAAAGGAACAAGATCACGTCTTTTTTAGAGACATGGATGGAACTGGAAACTGATATTCTCAGCAAACTAACGCAGGAACAGAAAACCAAACACTGCATGTTCCCACTTATAAATGGGAGCTGAATCATGAGACCACATGGAAACAGGGAGGGGAACAACACACACTGGGACCTGTCTGCGGGGTGGTGTTGGGGGAGGGACAGCATCAGGAATAGCTAATGGATGCTGGGCTTAATGCCTACGTGATGGGAGGAGATCTGTGTAGCAAACCATCAAGGCGCACGTTTATCCATGTGACAAGTCTGCACAACCTGCACATGTACCCCTGAACTTAAATAAAAGCTGATGGAAATAAGAAGTTTTTCTTTTCACTGGCAAAACAACTATGTGCATTTTGGATCTTTTTCTTACTAAAGGAAACAAAATGTTACACATTAATGCCTTTATTCTATCATATACATAATCTTAGTTTTTTGTTAAAATTCATGTAAATACTTTCCATTGATTATGTGTTACTTCATAATTATGAAACATCAATAAAGTGATTTTTATGTTTTTAAAAATTACAGCTGAACACTTAACCCCTAGAAGGGAAAATGAAATCTCATGCATTTCTATTATGCTTAGAAATACCCTAGGAAGATCTATTGCACTTGACTATTTCCTATGTTGGAGGCTAGAAAGCCCAGACCCTCCCCTCCCCTTCTCTCCCCTCCCCCCCCATCTGATCTCCTCCCCTCCTCTCCCCTCCCATCTCATCTCCTCCCCTCCCATCTCATCTCCTCCCCTCTCCTCTCTTTGCCCTCTTCTCTCCTCCTCTCCCCTCCCCTCCCTTCCCCTTCTCATCTCCTACTCCTCATTCTTGCTGCCCAGGTTGGAGTGCAAAGGCATGGTCTTGGCTCACTGCAACCTCTGCCTTCTGGGTTCAAGCAATTCTTCTGCCTCAGCCTCTCAAGTAGCTGGGATTACTGGTGCATGCTACCCAAGCCCGGCTAATTTTTTTGTATTTTTAGTAGAGATGGGGTCTCACCATGTTGACCAGGCTGGTCCTTTTTCTTTTTGAATAGTGAACTTTTTGGCATTTTACTTTTTATATATTTCTTTTAAAAAATTTTTTATTTTACGTTTGGGGGTGCATGTGAAGGCTACATAGGTAAACTCGTGTCATGGGGGTTTGTTGTACATATTATTACATCACCTAGTTATTAAGCCCAGTACTCAACAGGTATCTTTTCTGCTCCTCTCCCTCCTCTCACCCTCCACACTCAAGTAAACCCTAGTGTCTGCTGTTTCCTACTTTGTGTTCAGAAGTTCTTATCATTTAGCTCCCACTTATAAGTGAGAACGTGGCATTTGGGTTTCTGTTCCTGCATTAGTTTGCTAAGCATGATAGCCTCCAGTTCCATCCATGTTCCTGCAAAAGGCATGGTATCATAGAAACAATGTTACTAAGCAGAAGTAAAACTATCTAATAAAAATTAGCACTGTGTTAAATAATAGGTGTGTCCTAAGAATTTTTGGCTGAATACAACCATGGATTAAATGTACTACACAAAAAGTACTTTTAGATCACCAGATCCTCTCCCAACACTCCCCCATGCCTACTTCCCAGAAAAAGCAAAGAAACAAATAAAAAACTAAAACTGCTGAAGGAAATGCAAGCAACAGGGCATGGAAATCGTAGAGCATAAAGAACCATGCTGACGGGGTGTGGTGGCTCATGCCGGTTAATCCCAGCACTTTGGGAAGCCAAGGCAGGTAGATCACCTGAGGTCAGGAGTTTGAGACCAGCCTGGTCATCACGGTAAAACCCTGTCTCCACTAAACATACAAAAAATTAGCTGGGCATGGCAGTACGTGCCTGTAGTCCCGGCTACTCCAGAGGCTGAGCCAGGAGAACCGCCTAAACCTGGGAGGCGGAGGTTGCAGTGAGCCAAGATTGTGCCACTGCACTTCAGCTTGGACGAAAAAGCAAGACTCTGTCTCAGAACAAACAAACAAACAACAACAACAAAAACCAAGAACAATGCTAAAGATTTCACATGATCACCTAAAGAGCAAACATAGTTTACCTTGGTTTTTGGAGGTGGTTTTGGCGTGTCTCTTTCTAAGCCTCTTGTTAAAAGGATGGGCAGGGAGTTCTTACAATTGGCCTCCTATAAAAGAAGTATAAAGGAAACATTAGGGATTAAAAAACATTTACCCTAACCAAAAATTACAAGGAAGTGAAAAGAAATTTTTAAGAGAGCGCATTTCTAGATTGAGTTGTTCACATTAGAAGCTGGTAAAATTGGAGTAAGGGGTCAAAACTTTTCCTCTCACTTGTCATATACAACAGTAAAGTAAGACCAAGATGGTGATGGAGGAGGTGGGAGATATACAGTATATATATTCAGAGGTGATCTTTAAAAATCTTATCTGCACTATTATATCATTTTATCACATACATATCCACGCTAGACAGCTAGCTCTTGTTTTGAGAAGTGAATAGTTAAATCTCCAAAATCTCAACCAACAAACTTAAAGTTGCCAATGTTCCCCACATTTTACAGATGGGTTCTGACTCTTTACATACTTGATCTTAAACAAATTCCTTCAGATAATCTAGCAAACAACTATTAAATAGTGATAGTTTTGTATTAATACCCTGTGGAAGAATATATGCATATCAGTTTCCAGAATTATTAAACCTCTAAGTCCTTGGTTCACGCCAAAACATTTGCCAAAATAACGGCAGCAATTACAAGGCTGCAGCTGAGGCAGATCTGTATAGATTTATTAGTTTGTATTCCTACATGATAAACAGAAATGACAGTAATCTTGTTACTTTTGTTGTTTCAATAATGCAGAGCCCCACTTCCAGATAGCCATTAACTTGGATAAGCTTTCCATAGATGATTCCATCTCCAAATTAAGATAGGAAAAGAATGCATACAAGGAAAATTATAGACAACGAGAAGGCTAAGGAGAAAGTCAGATTTTTTAGCTTCTTCCATAATTCTCTGTATCCCACTTCTTCCCCAATACTCCTGCCATTCAGTAATCTAAATTATACATTTTTTAAAGTTTAGTCTATGGCTAATTCATCATAATCTTTTAAACATAATTTTAGTCTACATACTTTACAATATTATTAAAATTTGCTGGAATTCTATTCACTTATTTCTAAAGGGAACAATATATTATTAGGATAAAATATCCCTAAAGAAAGTAACGACACCACTTATTATGAATAAAGATTGAATCTTATGACGTATCAGGCACTGCTAAAGCCTCTGCATTTATAACGCCATTTTTACCCCCAGTAGTCCTATGAGCTAGGAACTATCATCATCATCTCCCCTTTAAGGCTAACACAACGCAGCCTTACAGAAATTCAGTTAACTTGCCCAAGGTCACACAGGACTCTAAGTTTGTTCTGTATAACTTTAGGGCCTGAGCTCTTACAGCTGTTATATGTTATTCATCTCCAATACACTATACTTGGCATCTTAAACCACTAAGTTGTGGAACCACCGCATTTTAAAGGCAAAAGAGTTTTTTAAAGGTCAACTAGTCTGCCTCCCTGATTTTACAGATGAGGGACTTGGATCCCGAGGTGATGTGTCCAAGATCACATAGACAGTGGCAAAGCTGAGACTCATGCTTGGATGACAAAGCAGTACACAGCACCTGTTCTCAGGTTTGTGCTAGGGACAAACATTCCCAGACACATAGGGGATTGGAAGCTTCTTCTAAGCTGGGGAGTAGCTGCAGGTACTGCCAACACTCTCAGCTGCCTGTGGCCTCACGTAGCCCTACGTAAGTACCAAAGGGTACATTTCTGAGATCCCTAAATAAGTGTGCATTCTGGTCCTACCCTTTCCCACCAGTTACAACACCTGCTGGTGGTAAGCTGCTTTCTGGAAATAGTGAATGAACCCATTCCCGCTTCTGACTCACTGTGAGAGGGATAAACTATATCCAGCATGACATTTAGGAGAGCCAAATGCATAATCTATTGCATAACTTGGCTATGCTTGAATAACACAATTATGCTTTATCCTTGTACCCGTTTTTTAAACTACTGGTATATAAATGCTAGAATATGATGAAAAGAAACAAGGCTGGCTGTTAAGGGAAATTAATAGAAACATCTGATTTTTATCTATGACTGAGTGTTTATGAATGCCTATAATTCTTTCTTCCTTATGCATAAAAGAGAAGTGACAGTATTTCTTTATTCTATTTTCTGTCCCTGTCTCTGTGAATTAAAATTTGCTGGAATTATATTCATTTATTTCAAAAGGTGCAATGTTGACAGTCAACTTTTCCCTATAAGACTCTGGAAACATTTTTTCTAAACTTCTATTTTGCAAATGTCACCTACATGAATTATATTTATTTTTTGTTTTATGACTTTAAACTCAGACAACACAGACAAGGTAAACTTTGGCAGTCTGAGAATGAACTGGCAGTTAAGATATCCAGCTCAAGGAAGAAGCAGTATTTACTGATGAAAAGACAAGCCAGCACCTGTTCAGAGTTGCATTCCCAGTACCCCATCAGAATGGTACTGAAACAGCAGCCCCCACCCTTGCAGCAAGCACGAGCGAAGGGGCTGCAGAGCCAGAGGACACAGGTAACACCTTCCTGCAAGCTCCGTGGTACTTAGATTTCTGGGAAGAAGTTAAATAATTCAACTAGTAGCCTAAGCAAATAATGTAATGACTTAATGTATTCTTTTAAAACATATATTATGCAGTTAAGTATGAAGTATTAAGATAAAACATTTTACAAACCTTTATAAAGCCATTTATGCTTGTACATATGTATCTAAGAAAGTTGAAAATTTATGTCCACATAAACATATACACAAATGCAATAGTAGCATTATTCATAATAGCCTAAAAGTGGTGACAATCCAAATGCCCATCAACTGATGAATGGATAAACAAGACATGGTATTGTCACATAATAGGATATTATTCAGCTATAAAAAGGAATAAAGTACTGACACCTGCTACAACATGAACTTTGAAAACATGCTAAGTGAAAGAATCAGACAAAAAGGACATATATTGTGTGATTCCACTTATACTGACAGAAAGATTGGTTATCGCCAGGGGCTGGGAGGAGTGGGGAATGTGGAGTGACTGCTAATTGGTCTGAAGTACATGAGGTTTCTTTCTTTTTTGAGATGGAGACTTGCTCTGTTGCCAGGCTGGAGTGCAGTGGTGTGATCTTGGCTCACTGCAATCTCTGCCTCCCAGGTTCAAGTGATTCTCTTGCCTCAGCTTCCCGAGTAGCTGGGACTACAGGCGTGCGCCACCATGCCCACCTAATTTTTGTATTTTTAGTAGAAACGGGATTTCATCATGTTGGCCAGGATGGTCTTGACCTTTTGACCTCATGATCCACCTGTCTTGGTGTCCCCAAGTGTTGGGAATTACAGGTGCGAGCCAGTGTACCCGGCCGAGGTTTCTTTTAAGGGTGATAAAAATATTCTGGAATTAGATAATGGTGATGGTTGTACAATTTTGTGAACACTTTAAAACCATAGATTATATACTTTATAAGGATGAATTTCAATGCTTTGTGAATTCTAAATTTTTTACAAAGCCATGTAAAGTTCGCACATTCTCAAGGCACAAGGAAGAGACCTTGGGTTTGTGTTCAAACTTTTACTTTAGAATAACTTTTTGGAAAAAGTGAGTTTCTGAGTGTTAACTTGTAAGTAGGCATGAATATGTATTCAATGAATATCAGTTGAATCTTACTACTAGTTGGAATGGGTGGTATTCCAATGCTGGGCACTGGAGAATGAAGGGCCAAACTGGACATTAATAGATCATATAGGGTCTATTTGTATTTATTGTAAACATTTGGTCTACTTACATGAGACTTTTGGCTGAACTGATTGCTCACTTTAATGACCTTTGCACAACACCTACTTGCTTAAACCAGCTGTGACATGGTATCATGAGAACACCAATTAAAAATACAATAAGGAAGGAAAAAAAATACCTTGTTTATCATGGCCTCTTTTGCATTACTATTCAATTACTAATGGCATTTAAAAACAGAAAAGTACTCACTGCCCCCTCAGCCTTGCACACTACTCCCCTCACAGCTCTTTTAAGGCTTGCTCCCTTGTTTCATTCAGGTCTTTGCTCAATTTCACTGGAGCAGAATCTCTTCCGAGGACGGCGCGTGGGAAGGGCTCTCTAATCACCACCTCTCTCCTCTTCCACTTGCTCTCTATCTCCATACCCTATGTTTCTCCATAGCCCTTAGAAATATCTGACTTTAAATTACACTTATGTTTTTAATTCTTTATTGTCCATCTCACCCTACTCTATGAGAAGACTTGGTCAGTCTTGTTCATAAATATATTATATCCACAGAGTCTACAACTAGGTTGGGCACATAGTAGGAGCTCAATTGTTATGTGACTGAGTAAACTGAATGGATAAAATCCCCTTCACAACACCCTGGGCATTACTCCAGCTTTTAGTTCCTTCTTAATTCCCTTCTTAAATTCCCTTTATGATCCTTCATTCTCTTGCTAATACCCTTCATTTCTTTCCTCCAGTCTCCAATAATTGTATTCACCTCACAAAAGTACAAAGCTATATGCTTTCTCTGTGCTGGGAATGGTGCAACTCAAAGTGGCTGGAAGAAAATTATAGAATTGGTTGATTGGTTTCACATTAAATTTATGACCACAAACTCTGAATGGGCCATCCCTCATGTACAGCAATTCTGCTATACTTCTTGAGTAACCTGATTTTCAACTTTCCAAGATGATATTTCTTGTCTTTTCCTCTCTTCTCAAACCCTTTTCTTTCCATTCTTGCTTCATAATCTTTGGAAAAGCAGAAACATCGGAGCAGAAGCTACTCATTGCCACACCATCAAATCTACAAGCCTGGCTGAAATCATTCCATCCTCTCTGCCCTCCCTGTTGTTGCAATGAAAGATAAGACTGGTTGCATCGAACAGCAATTCCCTCCATATGCACAGTGGATCTCATCTCTCTCACCTCCTCAAAAGTTGCTTCTTCAATGATTTCCTCTCCCTCCCTCCCCACTAAGATCATTCCCATCAATCACAAGCATGCTCTGGAGTAATATCTCATTGCTTCTGTTTATTTTTAAAAGAATATCTTAATCCT